GCCAGTCTCATCTTCTTAACCTTCCCACACTCCTGTTGGGGGCTAAGGGAATGCTTATCTCTCCAAGCGCGGCCTTCATCAAACCATTCCTTCACACAGAGTTGTGAAAACGTAAAGCTTGCTTCCCTAAGCTTCCTTATCTATAGGGTCTTCAAAATAAGGGGGGAGGGGGAGCCCAATAAAAAATAACTCTCATAAAAGACTCCTGTCCTGGATAGCAGGAAATAATTAAACCAGACTTCCCCAATTTGGGCCCTTCAGATGCGCTGCACTGCAATCCCCCAAATTCCCAGATAATAGGGGATGAGAAAGGACAGGCTATGATATCTACTGGAGAAAGGGTGGAACATAATATGATCAGCAGTAATAAGACAACGACAACAAAATCGATTTTTTTAAAAAAAGAAGTTAATGCCAATTATTTCATGTGGTTGCAGTGAATTCCACAAGTGAAATCTGTGAGCATCCCCCTTTCATTCTAATTTCCAAGACTTCCCCCCCCCTCAACTCCTGGCAAGCAAATCCCTGCACTTTTCTATTTTCAGAAGTAGTTTGGCATTGCTTTCTTTCTAGGATGAGAGAGAGAGAGACTGGCCCAAAATCACCCAGCTGGCAGGACTAGAACTTGGGCCTCCATATTCCCACTTCAGCGGCTTAAGTGCTAGACCAAATTGGTCCCCTCCAGAGCATTCTAGTCTCTGTTCCTTTATCCCATAAACGACTTCTGCATTCTTCAGTTTAGGAGACACAGTAAATCAATCCAAGATCTCACTTGATGCCGCTTTGCACCACCCGGTTTTTGCAGTTCCTCCAACAGGTGCAGGCCTGGTTACATTCAAAGATCAAGGGGGGCTCGATCTTGTTGAATTCCTGTAGCAAGCGTCCGTCCTGCAGAGACACACAAAGGGGAAGGTAATGGTGATGGGTCCGTTGTCATGGTAACAGCATCTTCCCCCCCCCCAATGAGGCCGTGGGACATGTGCTGGCAACATTTCCCCTTCCATTTCTACTGTCTGAACTAGCAAGAGTGGGGCGGGGGGGGGGGAAGAAGAGTTGTCAACTTTAAAAATAAATGTTCCTCTCACAGGAAGAAGAATCATTTAGGCCTCACTTTCTGACATGTGATGCCTACCTACTGGGGGCTACAACTTCCAGAAATGCAGACTGACATGGAATTCTGGAAATTACGACCACAGTGAATTTGGAAGGCAGCAGATATCAGGAAAGTTGACGATATGTACATTTCCTCCTTTTAAGAAACTGGCGTTTACTGCCTCATCTGCTGAGAAGATCTGCAGATCACATTTCAAAGCTCAAGAGAATTGCAAAAAATTCTTTTTTACTAGGGGACACGTATCAGGACCTGGCCATGCAATGATCAGGATCTTAAGGTCTCCTGAGTAAACTGTTCTTCTTCCCTTCCGGTTCCATCCATGATCTGTCCTTTGGACAGAGGAGCAAGAACCAAGAGGAGACGCTGAAAGGCCAGGGGGCTGTTGAGTTTTCCTCAAATCTCCTGCTAAAGGAGAAGCCTCAACAGAAAGATGCAAGTATTGTAAAATAAACCAATAAATATATATTTAAGGCCCAGCCTGACTGGCACCACGAACAGGAGCATCAGTTAAAGGGGCCCTGAAAAGACATGTAAGGTTCTGAAAAAAGGAGGACTTCCTTGGAAAGAGAGGTCATATGGTGTAGTGGTTAGTCCTGGACTAGAAATGGAGGGGAGGAACCCAGGTTCTAGTCCTGTTTGAGTATGGAAGCTCAGAGTGATTTGGATCCAGTCCCCCTCTCTCAGCTCACCCTGCCTTAAAGGGCTGTAGCTGTGGGGGAAAACATGAGGGGGAGTGTATGCTGCTTTAAGGGCCTGATAAAAATAAATATTAAATATTAAAAGCCCAGGGAAGCATGTTAACAAAGGAAGATTGTAGCTGAGTGACATTTCTCACATGCGCCCAAGTAGATTTTTTCGCACATCCTCAACCTGAGGTTCTCAGTTTGCTCACCAGCTCTTCTGCCCCCCCAGAGGCAACCCCTCACCTTGTCATACCAACAGCGGATGCTGAGTTGTCCACAGAGACAATTGCTGGAGGAACAGTCGTCCTGGCATGTGCAATGCTGCCAATGTGAGAAGAAGAGACGGGAAAACGGAGGTGACACCTGGCAGGTGATGGTGCCAAACGCCACCCAGCCTCTGTGCTGGTGTTTTTCAACCTTGGCAGCTTTGACACGCGGATTTCAACTCCCAGAATTATGTTGGCTGGGGAATGCTGGGAGTTGAAGTCCGTGCATTTTCAAGTGGCCAAGGTTGAAGAACACTGCTCTAGGCTAGGGCAGCTACGTAGCCTCTCCAGATGGAGGAAATACATAAACCATAGTTCTGTGCCACATGCAAAGCCAGCCATTAAGAAACCAGAGGTAGCAAAAATGGGAGCACAGGAGCCATACCTAACAGGCAGCCTTGTACTACTCTGAGATCAAACTGCTTCAATTCCACACCTCTTTTTTATACGTTTTAGCGCTGTTAAGCCAATAGCCAGGAAGCTAGCCTTGCAGAGGTTATATGTTTTTTTAAAGACTGCCCCAAATTTCCCAAGAGCTCGAACCAGTCTTCTTGCAAGGCTTGTCTGTCCTGCGAGACTGCCAGCCATTCTTATTATGCTTAATTCTTAAAAATCTTAATCAAAACTTAAAGTTGGTTCTTAAATCAAACTATTCATTTGATTTGGAAATGTTGGTAGTGCAACATAAAGGCATTACAGATGTGGAGTCTTTGGTGCTCTCTGAGCTTGGTGGTTTGCTGGCAGATGTTTCACTGCCCCACTAGGTAACATCATCACTGCGAGTGAGTGTGGGGTTTGCTCCCTGTTTATATACAGTAGTTTGGCCTGCCAGTGTTGGCGGGGTGTGGTTTTCTCCTTGGTAGTTCCTTGATTAGGATGTTGTTTTCTGCTTCTGTTTCAATGGTTTTCTGCTTTCCTCTTCTGTTTTCTCTTTCAAGCAGAGAACAACACCCTAATCAAGGAACTACCAAGGAGAAAACCGCACCCCCACCAACACTGGCAGGGCAAACTACTGTATATAAATAGGGAGCAAACCCTACACTCACTGGCACTGATGATGTTACCAGCAAACCACCAAGCTCAGAGAGCACCAAGGACTCCGCAGTTCAACCCTGAACTACACAGATTCTCTTCTGTTGGAGGCATTGCAAATTGCTGTCCCCAATTCCTGTCTGTACTGCCTCCCCTAACCAACAGCACTGGCTCATCAGTCTTGGACAGAGAAGAATCCTTTCCATAGCTTTCTTCAACTGAAGGGCCAGGAATCACTTCAGAGACCCTTTGCCTCGCCAAGGATCTGCTCTCCCACCAAACCATGGTCCCTCCCAGGCCAAAATAACTATCTAGAGCCAGGCAAAGCTTCTGGCCCTCAACTTCGGCTTTCCCCTCTGCTGGCTGTACCTGGGAGCCCTGCTGCTTTGGGTTAGATTAAAAGGATACCTGCAAGTGGGTGATATTGCGATCAATGTTCATGGTGGAGGTCTCACAGTTTTCCGAGATGTACTTATAATCATCTGGGCAGGGCTCATCGTCCACAGAGTTGACACAGGGAATGGGCACATTTTCGTAGCCACGAGCCACGTCCCTGGTTAAAGAAAGAAAGCAGAACCCATGACGGATGCCCCTTTTAAGCAGCAGTTTTCAAGAACACCACCGTGTTTTAACAGCTTTTGCTTCCACTATCTTGCTAAATGATATTCCACCCTGCTTAACATGAGTGTTTACTGTGGATGATTGCGGGACCCTCTTTGTAAGTCTCAGTCATTTTATTTTTATACAGAAAAGTAGGGAAGAAATATTAGGACAAAAAACAGCGTCATGAAAATCTTTCCACTCTTCTCCCCCTGTTTTTAATTAAAATACTTGAAATCGGCGGAGGTATAACGAAGGGGAAAGTTTCTCCAACCTTGGACTTTGAACTGCTAGAAGGTAATCAGAACTGTGTACTCAGAGTTGCTGCAACTTCTTGATCCCCCAGACTAGACAGGAACAGTAAACACAAGAACCACACAGGATGAGACCAAATAGTCATAAGTTTCGTCTTCATCCTGGACAGTCAGATGCCTTTGAAAGAAAGCCCACAAGCAGAAAAGCACAGTTCATGTGCCCCAATATCACCTGTCCTTGGATCACAATGCGAATCACTTTCTTCCATGAATTGGTCTAATTCAGTCACTTCTCAAGTTCAGCTACGCTGAATGAATTATTTGCTTCTAGCTGCCGAATCTCCTCCTTTGTCAAGCTAATTTTGTTTCTAATCTTAGGAAAGGGGACAAAAACTTCTCTCTCGCCTATTTTTCTACACTGTGCATAACTGTATGTAAATTTATCTTGTTCCCCCAACCCTTCCCATTTTCTGACTCCAAAGAACCCAAATGTAGGATGCTTCTACACAGGGGGCATTGCAGTCCTTTTTTATTTTAGCTGTCCATTTATTGCTGTAGCTTCAGCTCTCTGGGACCTTGTTATGTTTTAAGATACAGGGACCTGAACTCTCCGGGGCTGGAAACAGGCAAGAGATCTCCAGGGAGCACCTGCACATCCAACATGCATAAGTAGAAGGTGCCTGCTGAAAGCCCCTGTCCCCTGCTCCCTCTGTCAGGAGGCTAGGTGGAAGGGGGATCAGAAGCAAGCATCTTCCTCCCGTGGAAGAATTTGTCTTTGGAGACAAGACTGCCCCTTGCCTGGCCAGCTTTTGGAACGTTAAGACCTGGCTTTTTTTGAAGAGTTTTTGGCCACCAAAGGAGTGGAAGGAGGGGATGATCCAGGAAGCAAGAATCACACAGACGTCATAAGGCATTTTAATATAAGAATTAGGGCTAAGGTGCAGAACTTTGTAGAAACTGCTAAAAGATCTTTCAGCTCTCTAGGCAGAATCTCTTTTGCAGTCTGGACTGAACTGCCTTTGATTAGATAAGCCAGCAGTTTTCAAATGTTTTTGGTCAGTGGTTCCTAAACTGGGGGTAATGGAGTGTGAGGAAAATACATTTTCTTCGCCTAAAACTGTATTTTCCTCACATACATTTTTAGGTGAAGAAAGTGTATTTTCCTCGCAGGAGCAATTTGTAATTGCTGGTTTATGAGTCAAGGATCCAGTTTGGGACTGCCGCTGCTGAAACTCTTGGTTTTTTATATGCTTTGATATTGTTTTTCAATGGTTGCTGGTTGGTTTTTGTTGTTTTTATATTTCTTTTCATTGTTTGTAAGATGCCCAGAGTCATATCTATGAGATGGGAGGCTCTATAAATTTTAATAATCAATCAATCAATCAATCAATCAATCAATCAGGGTCTGGCTTTTTTGTGGGGGTAATAACATTATTTGAGACTGGGGAAAGGGGA